CTGTGGGGCAGATGAATCCCTTGCTCAGTGAGAAACTGAAATGATCCCTTGGAGGAAAGTGGATCCAAACCTCCAGTTTGAATCCCCAGCTAAGTTTGAGGCTCAGTTGATCCTTCCAGGGAGAGAAGGTCCGAAACGTCCAGTTTGCAGGATGACTTCCTGCCGGGGTATCAAAGACAAAAATAGCAAGATTAAAATTCAGGTTGAAAAAAACTCAGTTTGAATTAGCAAAACTTGGCTTGGCTAGAGTTCCCAAAACTGGCAAACACTCTGGCGGTGAGGTAGTGGCAGTCAGCAGCTTAAGAGCGCTCCATTAACGAGGTAACCCTTTGCAGGTGTGTGAGGAGGTGAATCAGGACCAGGCGCCGCCTGGTGGAGGAAGGAAGACAAACACACAAAACACAAACCACGCAGACAGGAGTCCTAACAGACTGAGGGAAATCAATCTATCTCCATTTAACTGGAGTAAATTCCCACTAAACAGTTCAGTAGATATCAGCGGCTTATAGTGTGGTGACTTATATATGTACGTTTCATGTTTTTTCAAAACATATAGAGGCCGCAGCTTAAAGTGAGGTGCGCTCTATAGTCCTGAAAATACAGTACGTTTTTAACGCCCGTTGTTGCAAATAAAATTGATTGATTGAAAGGAGTAACTTCAGCTATTTTGTGTCTCCTCAGATTTTTGTGAACTGGAACTGGATCCAAACACGGTTAGCAGAAAGCTACTACTGTCTGACAACAACAAAAGGGTGAACATTGTCGACGAGGAGCAGTCATATCCTGATCATCCAGACAGATTCGAGTGGAATCAACTTCTGTGCACAAATGGCCTGACTGGTCGCTGTTACTGGGAGGTGGAGTGGAGTGGGAGAGTCCTGGTATCAGTGAGCTACAGACGGCTCACACGGAGGGGTCTCAGCAGCGACTGCTGGTTTGGAGGAAATGAACTGTCATGGAGTCTGAGGTGCTGCGACGATGTCGGTTACGCTGTCTGTCACAACAACATTATGACAGCCGTCCCTATTCCTGCCTCATGTCTCTCACACAGAGTAGCGGTGTATTTGGATCATCCTGCTGGAACTCTGTCCTTCTACAGAGTGTCCTCCGGGAATCTGACGCACCTTCACACCTTTAACGCTACCTTCACTGAGCCGCTATACCCTGGCTTTGGATTCTGGTTTGAGTCCTCAGCTTCACTCTGCTCTCTGTGATGATGGTACTATTCGGAAAGGAAATTCCACTTCAAGTATCTGGTCTAAAGCTACCTTATATTACTATCACATTAGCTTAAACTAATTAATAAATAAATGGTAAAATGAGCAATATTCATAGCACATTATTAAATGGAGTGACTATTGGCATGTGTCATGAAACGCGGACAGAATGACCCAGTATTCAAGGAGAGACAGTCAGTAGAAAACTTCAAAAAGTTTCAGGATGGGGAGCGGGGCACCGCCCAATCATGGACACTCTGCAAGAGAAAGACATGTAAGTGACCACGATCATCTGACAGAAGAAGATTATCTGAGTTGGCAACTTACCTGGTTTAACA